TTTTGAATTTTGAATTTGAAATTTGAAATTTGAATTTTGAAATTTGAATTTTGAAATTCGAATTTTGAATTTTGAATTTGAAATTTGAAATTTGAAATTTGAAATTTGAAATTTTGAATTTTGAATTTTGAATTTTGAATTTGAATTTTGAATTTAAAATTTGAATTTGAATTTGAATTTAAAATTTAAATATTTGAACGTTCGAATTCAAATGTTTGAATTCGAATTTGAATTGGCTATGAAAGGTTGTTTCATAACAAAAGGATAAGATAAGATCTTGTTGGAACAAATCCCAAATATCAAGAGGAGATCTTTGAGAATCTTCTAGTGAGGACATGGGGCGCTAATTTAGGTATCTGATGATGGTCATAGGATCAACCAAATGAGCTCCAGTCAGATTTGGTTTGTTGAGAGAATAAGTGAGACAGTTGGTTCAAGTTTGAATGCAACTGCTCAACGTATCTGGACTGTTATGAGGCCAAGTGGGGCGCACCATATGGCTGGCCATATGATGGTTGTTGAGTCAGATTCTTGTTGAGATATTCACTTGATATCATGAGGATGTGAGAGGAGGTTGTTGACAAGATTTGAATTTTGCAACAGCTCCACTCATCCCCCTAGTGTGCGCTATATATAGGGCCTTATTTGAGTGAAGAAAATTAGATTTTAATTAACTCATTCTCTCATCTCCTTGTGGGTTCCTTTTGAGGTTTTTCTTAAGAGAGTTTCGAAATAACCTAGCCTTTTTCAAAGAAAACCATGCGCCACTTTTGTGTCTATTCTTGCTGAATATACACTCTTCTAAACACCTTGACCTAGCCTCCTCCTTCACACATTGGGCACATAGCTTGCCTCCATTGGTGTTTTCGTTGGTGGCCTTGAAGAAGAGTTCTTCCGTCTTGACAAAGGGTGGTGTGGATCAACATTAGAGGGCTTGCATCTTCAAGCCTCATCTTGATCATCCTCCAATTTTGGAAAGCAAACAAGGTAACATCCATGCCCTAAAGCATGTTTCTTGATATGGTATGTGTTATTCCGCTCGAAAAATTTTGTTTTTCCCTCTCACATACCTCGACCTTCAAGGTCAGTTTCTTTCATATTGATGGTGTGTATGTTGTAGAAACAGATTGTGATATTGTTGGATCTTGCGTTGGTGATCTCTCGGACACCGAGTTATTATTGAAGGACTTAGCGACGACAGGTAAGCTTTTGGTTCTCAGAATTAATCCCTGTTGATTCCACTAAACTTCATGAGAGGATGGTTTGTTGGCTTATGTATATATGATAAACTATTTTGTTAAATTGAGATATTGGCATATGCTTATGTGCAAAGTTATCAAATGCGGATTGTGGCATGTCGCGGCCAATCCCGAAAAACGCTACAGCCAATGTTGTTAAAATGTAGAGTCTACGCTGAAACGGTGGGGGGAAGCAAAAACGTAAAATCGAGAAACGTAAACTAAACGTAAGAGTTTACTACGTACCAAAAAAAATAAAATATATCCAATATATATATAACCAAAACACACCAATACATAAGTCATCACAAATTTAAGTGCAAATACTAAAAGAAATAAAAATTAAGTTCAAATTCAGTCATCATAATACATATTAAAATCAAAACACCTAGGTAATAAAATCATAAAAGATATCACCATGCACTCCGTTCATTGTCAACAATAAAATTGAAATCTTCCTATTTCTTTACTGAAATAAAATTCTCAGTGGTTACATAAAGTGAAACGTACGTGTAAATTAAATTTGGATCATTTTTAATAATAAAACAATAAAACATTGTTTAGATTTGAATTAAAATTAAATACTTCTACTTTCAACAATATTTATAAAAATTAAATACAGTCAAATATTTCTACTTTCAATAATATCAAATACTTTAGGAAAATTCAATATTTCTTTTATTATAAATAAAAAACTAGATCTGTATTAAAATTAAAAATTAAAAATTAAAAAATTATAAAAATTCAATATTCAACTATATCAGTATGAAAGGATGGTGGCGTATTAGATTTGAAGAGGATATATCACCAATCTGTTTAAAAAAACTCGGTAGTCGGTACTGTACGAAAGCAAAAAAGGAGCAAAGAAATATGAGCAGCAATTTTATAGGAGAACTGAAGAAGCAAGAAGCAAGGATACTCGCTTTTATAAGATAACTGAAGAAGCAGCGATTTTTTTTTGTTTTTTGGGGGAAGAAGCAAGCAAGCAGCAGCAACGTGTACAAGATGGTAGGGTTTTTTTTTTAAGTTGGGGGATGACGTGATTTGACAAAAATACCCCTGTTTTTTTTTTAAAAAAAACTGAGTCAACTCGGTAAACTCGCCGAGTCAACCGAGTTTACCGAGTTGACTCGCCGTTTCAACCGTTTCAACTCAAAATCCGTTTCAACTCCCGTTTTGACACGTTTTTGGTCATAAAAACGTAAAAACGGTACGTTTCTACGTTTCGACACTACGTTTTAACAACACTGGCTACAGCACTATAGCGGTTTGTAGTTGCAGAAATAGCGGAATAGATATATGACAAAAATAATGACAAAAAGAAATATTTTTAAAGACAGAGATAGCAGAAGTGATAGAAAAAGACGCAGATAGACTAAAAAACCCTTAAAAATTTTCTGCTACACATTTAAATTTAGGACAATATTGACATTTTGTCTTATGACAGCAATATGGCCGCGATTTGGCCACTATTGCGTTCCGGTGCAGCTTGTGGCGCTATTGCGGTGCAATTAACTACTATGTTTATGTATGTTTTTGTAATTAAACTTGTGGTATATGGGCAAATATATATATATATATGGATGTGATGTTGTTTGACTACACAATATGGTGGATCCTGAGTGTCGAGGCAAAAGGGGAGGCCCCTATGCCTAGGTAGGTAGCAGATGTGTGTAATGCCTATATTGTTCTCTAGCTAGTAGAATAGAGTTTATGCACATTACATGATATATACTGCCATATACTGTTTTATGAGAATTACTGTTTTGCCATGAATACCATGTTTTTAATTATTATGTTGAGAAGTGAACTTGGGGAGGAGTGATCCTTCGAGAACCCCAGTTTATTGAGATTTGTCAAAATCTCACCCCATCTGGGGAACATTTTTCAGGTGTTGATATCCATGCGATGGGTGCGTCTAGAGGCAACAGGCCGGTATAGACCTTTTAGCATTGACATACCTTGCTGTTATTTGACATGACGATTATTCCCGAGACATGATGATTATTCTGAATATTATGCATGTTTAATTTGATGTGAGCATAGGAATTGTCTATGCCACATTTAAATAATCAGGTTTTGTTGATTTGAGGACACGTATATTTGTCTACACCATGATGTATGGATGTTGTCATGACTACATGTTGTAGGCTCATGACTAATTATAAGAGTATTCCATGTTAGTTGTCTTTGCAATACATAAGGTAAAAAGAAAAAAGTAAATTCACATTCGGATTTAGAATCTTGTTAATAATCGTATGAATAGCTTCCGCATTTAATTAGTTGAAAAAGTTGTGCTTAGTACCAAGGTATGATAATACACCAGGTGCACACAAGGTGTTACACCTCGCTTTAGAAAAGCCTAATTCCTTATAATAAATATAACATGGATAGTTGTTACCTACCAGAGAAAAAGGAATGGAAGAAGAAAAAAATCCTACCAGAGTGATTATGATGTAGAATATAAGTAAACATTTCAGAAATCAAATCAAATTAAAGCTATTGGCTAGAAGTACTGTGAGAAAAAAACTTGACTGTGTAACACTCCTGCACAAGGGCAATACCATGCATCATAGCATAAAGTAGGTATCTTTCTCAGTTTCTCGTAACTAATTTATCTAAAATATCTCATTGATATAGCAACATAATGGTCATAAGAAACTATACTAGTCCCTACATAAATAAATATTCATTCTTACTTGTTCAATTATCTTAAATTATACGTTCACAAATATTTGGAAATAAAACCAACTTAATCCCATTCCTTTCGAAAATGGAGAATCAGCAACAGCAGTGGACTTGTGTGGAAGCTATTTGCTGAAGGCACCACATCCCCCCTCTCACACATTTGTAGTATGGATGGACAAAGCATAGACTTAGTGGAAAAAGTCTTTTGTTGTTGTTATTCCAAATAATTTGTAAAAAGGCAGTCTGGTGCTATAAAACTGCCACTATGCGCAGAGTGCAGGGAAGGGTACCCATTGTGTGGGTCAAAGCCTTACTTTGCATTTGCAAGAGGCCGATTACAAACCTGTGAGCTCTGGGTCACATGGTGATGATACCAACCGTCATGCCAAGGCCCCCTTCTTGTCAAAACATTAACAATGTGCAGTTAAGAAAAATTTATGTGTTAGTTATTTAGCAACTTATCTGTGATTATTGGGTATATTTGTTATAAAACCCATGTAACTTGATGATCAACAGTGTGACAAGAAAAAAGTCCAAAAACAGACACAGGAGAATGTTCTAAAGCAGAAAAACCCTTCCAGTTTGTGTTTAGTTTCTATCTTTTTAATTCAATCTAGTTTTCAGTTTCAGCCACTATTTTCTTATCTTGTGTGCCTAAATCATCCCTCCAACGCAGTACTACTACTTTGCACTAAAACTTAATTCATTATAAAAATAAATAAAATGGTAGTTTGGTCCTTAGAAATGTACCTCTCCTGCAATTCAGTTCTTAAATTATTCAAACCTGTTTAACATTAGTTCCCATTATACATAACAAAAGGAGTACCACGAAACGAGTTTAAATAATTTTAATCAAAGACAGAATTGCAGAATGACGTACATTTTCACTCAGTTAGTTAACTCTCATAAAAATGGACCATTTAAGAACCCAAATCAGCATCACTCATTCAATGGCAAGGAACCATTCAACTTTTTTAACCAAATAACACTGTTTCAACACTGGACACACAAACATTTAAGAATACACGAAGAATGCACACTTTATTCATGTGGGTATGCAAAAATTATCGTTACCTGTGAAGTCAAGTCAGCAGCGGTGAAAATAAGCGAGGATGTTATGCTTTTGGTGACAACCGGATGAGTTTCAAGCTTACTCAGATACCATTGCACGAGTCCAAACTTGTGAAAAGAAGAAGAAGAAGAGAACGCAGGAGATGGCGTTGGAGAGAAAGAAGGGTGCGAAGTTTTGTGTTGCCAATTAATTTTGTTGATGCGGTGATAACGTCGAACACGTGGTGGGCAATGTAGCGGGTTAGCGAGAAAATGAAGTTTCGGTGTGAAGAGCAACGGGAAGAAGCGTTTGGCTATGTTTCGTGACATGGAGCTGTTGCTCATTATGGCTTACGGAGTTTGATGAAAGGGAAGGTTCATGTCGTCGATGGCAGTGGCAGTGCCATTTGATTTGAAAAGTGTTCGTTCTGTGGCGTTTCTTCCGGAGAAACACAAGTAGAAGATCCGAAGAGGATGCCAAGGGACATCAAGTCGGCAAGTCGTTTGCTGAAGATCTGGTTATTGCTAAAACCTCTTTCGACGACTTGTCGTCTCGTCCCTTTGAGTAAATTATTATTATTATTATTATGGGAAAATTTTTAAAGAATACATAGTTGTGTTATTTTAAGTAAGAGAAAGATACAATCTAGTATTTTTATTTAAAATTTAAATTAAAAAATTCACTCATTTTCTCTTCCATAATTTTCATTGTTTGTATTTTTCTCTCACTTAAAATAATATAATTATATGTCCTTTTTTTTTTGTAAACAAAAAGGCATAACCAAACAAAGAACAAACAGACACAAAACTAATCAGGAAGAGAAACTATATGTTCCCTTCCAGCAGATGCAAGATCAGCTACATAAAGAGACCTAATACCCCCTGGAGGAGTCTCAAATCTGACTAAATCACTAGCGTCAGATAAATCTACTAGGTAATTAGCCATCCAGTCTGCGCACATATTGCCTTCTCTGAAAGTATGTTGAAGGTGAACCTCCCAGTCTTTATTTAACCATGTCCGTATACGAGATATAAGGCGAATCTCACGGACTGCTGCACCACACTTGGTGAGCCCAGTGATCGCTGATAATGAATCAATTTCCAGAATTATTCTTTTGAAACCTGCAGACCATGCTTCCTCTAAACCATGCAAAATACCCCATAATTCTGCTTTAAAGGCTGAGCAGAAACCCAACTTGAAAGAAAATCCCCTTAACCAGCCGCCTTGAGAATTCCTGATCACACCCCCCGCAAGCTACTAAACCAGGATTTCCACCAGCTGCTCCGTCAGTATTGATTTTCACGAAATTTTCCTCAGGAAATCTCCAAACTATGTTAATAGGAACCCGCCTCCTTGTAGTCTGCATACCATTACTATATTTTGCTTGATTCACCTTAATGACAAATCTTTCAATAAGATTTATCCTAACCTCTAAAGGTAGCTGTAAGAACCCGTACCATTAATTAAGGAAATTAATTAATTAATTATGTGAAATTAGGAAATAATTCTATAATTGACCCTAATAATTATTATAAGGCTTAAATAATATTGGCAAGTGAGTAATATTGCTGAAAGTTGATTTTCTGACGAAAAGTGCAGATATCGGTTCTGCTACTCGGTATAAATGCGTACCGATGAAGTATCCCGAAAAATTATGAAAAGTGTGTATATGTCACTAGAATAATATATAGGACTTGTAAAACAATTTTCAAGTTAAAATAATGAGAACTGGTGCCAGAACTGATACTGGCTATGGAAAAGCGCATACCGGAAAGGTGCTGCGAAAAATAAAATAAAAATATGATAAATATTAGAAAAATGAGTAGGATCAGATTCCAAAGTTTGGGATTAAAATGCTAAGCGTAGATATTAATGCTAATACTGTGCGTTTAGAACTTAAGTAGCTATATATAGCTAATGGCACATGATCCTGGGGTATTTTCCCTTTGTTTCTACGTGAGTTGGAGCTGCTGATCAGCCTCCTCCTCTTCCTTGCCTTCTTGCCTTTGAGAAAAGCCACCAAGTTGCCACCTTTCCTTGATTTTCTCTAGCTAATCCTTGGAAACAATTAGTGGAGTGTGTGGTGAGTGTGGAGGTCAGTTTTCTAGGTTGTTTCATCTCTGTTTTGTTGAGTTGTGGGGCTGAGTTCATAAGCTTTGTTGAGGGAGCCTTGTCATGACTTGGTGATGCTCCTAGAAGCCTTGTTGGTGTGAAAGAACCAAGCTGTATTGGTCCATTTTTGTTTACCTTGAAGTCAGTACCCTAGGACCTGAAGTGTGAGCTCCAAGAGCATTCTTTTATCTGTTTTGAGCTGTTGGTAAGCTTCATCTACCTTGACCATGTGTTTCCTTGGTTAAAAATGGAACCTTGATGCATGTAACAAGCTAAAGATCATAACTTAAGGTTGGGTAAGGTTAAACACACCTAGAAATGCATGTTTAAGCTTCTGTAATCGGTAAAAGTCGAACCTTTGGATTGATATCTCGCGAAATGCAGAATCTGAGTTCTGCCGCGAAATATCCGGATATTGATATCCGGATATGGGGTTCTGAATATCCGGATATTGATATCCGGATATTTCCAGAGAGATATCCGAATATTGATATCCGGATATGTCCCCGACAAATATCTGGATATTCTGGGTTTTCGAAGAACAGTAGCTGCACTGTTCATACAGAACTATATTTGGGGTTTGTAGACCCTTGATTGGTGAAGTGGGACTTCTGTAATGATTAATCTAAGTCAGAATCAAGTGATTAAGGGCTTGTGGCTTTGTGAGAAGCCTTAAGACGTGAAAAGTAAAGGAAAGACGTTGTCTTTATGTCATATGCTTGTATGCTTGTATATTGATATGATTGTTGGTCCAAAACATATTGTGATTCTGCTGTGTTTCGGCTTTGAGATTGGTTGAACTCTTGGCTTGGACTGTTAGCTTGCAAGGTAAGCTTTCGTGTCCTCGATTTAGCCATTGTGTGGTTTCACCATACCCCATGGGGGAATGGTTTATATGCATGTTGTGTTTATTCTTTGATAATTGAAATATTGTTGAGCTTTATGTGCAATTGCTTATAATATGTATGTGTTGTTCCACTTCGACGGTTAGCCTAAGAATGTGGCGTCATACAAGACGGTGACATCGTCGGTGGGTGCAAGTGGTGTCTTGCACTAGTGTGGGTAATAGACGTATTCCTGCATTTCTCTGGCCAATAAATTAGTATTGACACACATGACATGATTATCTGCTGCATTGCACTATTTTGGAACTTATACTGTTAAACTGTTTTTGAACTTATATTGCACATGTAAGTGAGCTTGGGGTGGAAGATCCTTGATGACCCCTTGTCTTACTGATATTTCTGTTTAGAGATCTCACCTCACGTTTGGGGCGCTTATTTCAGGTTCAGGTAACCCTGGGGTTGAGACCTCTAGCGACAAGAGGCCGGAGCTTAGCTGATATTGCTGTTTTATGATGATATGTCTGAATGCTGGATTATGCATGCTGCTTTATGTTATTAGCTTATTATGATTATTGTTGCTGCTGTTGAGCCTATGTTGGGCTTAGTTGCCTTATTTGGTGAGCATGGGGATTGTCCATGCCACATCGTTTGACTTTGTCTTAGTTGATTCGAGTTGTATAATTGTATCAGGATTATGTCCGAACTACGTGTTGAAGATCCGTGACTAGATACTCACTTTATTATTTATGAGGTATTTCAGTTAGCTGTCTTTTGCAATTTACATACAGGCGATGTTTTATGAAAATGATTAAGTAATCAACTTGGTAAGGATAATGACGTCATAATTGAAAAGAAAAATATATTTCGCATTTTTAATTAAGCGTGGCTTAATACGATGACATATTAACAAACCGGGTATACACGAGGTGTTACATTTGATGGTATCAGAACACTTTCTAGGGAAAAGCCTGTATGTATTGCAATAACTTAGGATGTTTGTTGTGTGTCTTGTCTGTGTGTTCTCTCTATTGGGTTTTGCTATGATAATGCATATGTGACCACATTGTGTGGGCCTGATCAACTCATTCATTGTGTAACTTGTGCAGAGTCATGGTGCAACCTCGAAGGAACCGAGACACTAGCGAGGATTAACCTGATCCTGTCCTGGCTGCATTGGCTGATATGCAGGCGGCTCGACTAGCCGACCAGGAGGCCATGAGAATGGCAAACCAAGCTATGCTGGACACCGTCAGAGAGGCGAACAGGAAAGCCACTGAGGATGTTTTGGAGGCAAACCGCCTGGCGAACATGACTATGATGTGGGTCATGTTGGAGGAGATAAGGGCTGGTCCTGCTGTTGGTCAGTTCCCTCCGTCAGAGTGGCAAACCAAGCTATGCTGGACGCCGTCAGAGTGGCTTCTTTCTGAGTGTAGCTGCTGCCTTGTGAGGTTGAGAGTGCTGTATTCTGGTATTGGTGAGGAGAGAGCTTGTATCTTGGTTGTGGTGGCTCCAAGGAGCCATCTTTGGTGCAAAGGGCCAACCTTTAATCATCATTTTCGCTCTCCATTGAAGTCAGTACCTTGGAGTTGTTGTGTGAGCTCCAAGAGCACCCATTTTGCTGAGTTTAAGCTTTGGTAAGTTGTACAAACCTTGGTCTTGAGTTTTGTTGCCTAAAGATGAAGTATTGGCATGTTAATGGGTTAAACAAGTAACCAATTGGTTTGCGGACCTGAAACAGATTAAAGATGCATGCTTTGACGTTTTAAAATGTTAAAAATGGAACCTTGGAAGGATATCTTCGCGAAATGCAGAAACTGTATTTTGTCGTGAAATATCCGGATATTTGGTCGATAAATATCCGGATATGGATATCCGGATATTGATATCCGGATATGGGGATCTGGATATCCGGATATTGCCAGTGAGATATCCGGATATTGCCAGTGAGATATCCGGATATTGGATATCCGGATATGCCCCCGAGGAATATCCGGATATTCTGGGTTTGTGAGGAACAATTGCGTACTGTTCATCCAGAACTGATCTATGGGTTTGTGGACCCTAGTTTGAGGAAGTTGAACTTCTGTAATTAATTAATGTAAGTCAGAATCATGTGATTAAGGGCTTATGGCTTGGTGAGAGGCCTTAAGACATAAAACGTAATGAAAAGGCGTTGTCTTTATGTTGTATACTTGTAGAGTATGATTGTTGATATATTATTGGTCCATAACAGATTGTGAATCTGCTGTGTTTGGACTTTGAGCTGTGGACTCTTGGCTTTGGGTGTTAGCTTGCAAGGTAAGCTTTCGTGTCCTCGGTTTAGCCATGTTGTGGTTCCACCATGTCCCATGGGGTATGGTTATATGCATGCTGGTTACATGCTTTTGATATATGAAATGCTGTTGAGCTTTATGTGTAATGGATTTTAATATGCATGTGTTGTTCCATCTTGACGGTAAGCCTGAGTATGTGGCGTCATAC